GAAAGAGAAAATGAGAGCTTAACTATATCATTTTATTTTTCGAGATTTATCTTGAGAAAATTTATTATAATTTATATATAATTTATATATAATTTTTTTCGACAATTTGAATTCTTGTTTTCAGTGGAATCGATGTAACACCATTTGTACAACAGTGGACAGGAGGAAATGAACAGGTAGAAAGTCTGCTGAAAGTTTCGACAGACTTCATAATAGCGTATACAGTTCATAAATTGCTCGCACCTGTTCGAATAGGAATATCCTTGTCCGTAACTCCAGTGCTTGTCAAATATCTGAGGAAAATAGGCTTGCTTAAAATATCGAAAAAAAAATCAGTACCCACATCAACATCTTCTATCAAATCACCACCAACATCTTAAGATAATTGTTTTTTTTATTAAAAAGTTTTCGTTATTAAGTGTCATATTTTGATGAGAGATGAATAATAAAACACTTTTAAATATTAGCATTGTGAAAAGAAATTATTAAGAATAGTCGCAAAAAGTAAAATATTTGTAAATTTAATATATTTATAAGATATTTGTGTATTTTGTAAATTAAAATAAAATTATAAATCGACAGTTTTGAATAGAAAAACTTTGCTACTAAATAAAATCGACACGTGTAAATATAGGCAAGACTATTATCTTCCTCTGTATAATTTAATTAAAAGTTTAAAGTTTTAATGTAATTCTAATCTATATTATGTAAAAGGTGTAAACATTTATATTTGTTATCAGTTTTATAAAGAAATCTGTAAATAAATGCATGTTATTTAGACAAAACGAATTGAGCTTCACATATGCATCTCTCGTTTATTATATAAAGAATATAGTGATCATAAAATTTACATAGTTTTGTATCTCGCATACGACGGAATCGTATAATACGTTTCGCGTATGCCATAATACATAATAATCACGCATATCGCATTCGCAGCACAGAATTTTCGTACACAAAAGCTCGGTAATTCCAATTGGACGAATTCGCGGTTTGTTCGCGAGTTAAAGCCGATGGCAGAAAACAAGACATAGAATGTTTACATCTTAGATGTGGACGTAGAGTAAGGAAAAACATAACTTGTTCACACATAAAAAAGTCGTAAAGGACTATTATGTAGATGTGGAAACCGCATACACAATAATCTTTCACAATTTAAGTTATACTTTTTCTCTATCTTACCCTACATACACATCTAAGACTCATAAACGTCTCGTTCTTTATCATCAACCTAAATTTCATCATACATAAGACGTCAATGTATATATATTTATATATATA